AACATGTAGCTTCTGCTTTAGAGTAGGACATTGTAGTCTCTCTTTCTTATGTTCAACGGATTTCAGCAAGAAGAAATTTTTAAGAAGGCTCTTGGCAAAGCACAATTTGTTAAACAAGTAGCTTATGGTTTACATTAGGGCGTCAGGAGTCTCTTTGTACCATATATAAATTGTGTGATGAATGAAATATAACACATGATTTTTCCCTAAACTTTTTGTGTTTCGTAACAGAGTAAAAGCAATGGACAATCACTGAATAATCTATGACACCCGTACACCCCTATTGGAAATAAAGGAGAGAGGATGAGGAAACAGAACTAATATAACTGGTATCTGAATGAATTTATGTTAGATCCTTAATTATTATAGGATTGGACAACGTAACAACTATATCTAAACATAGAGATAATTTCATAATGCCGCCTTAAGATTGATGTATATGTTTGTATCACAGTCCCTTACTTAAGACAACGGTTTGCATTAGACAGGCGGGCACAGAACTCAAAGACCAATACAAGAAAACATCAAAAGCCTAGGTCAGAACTATACAAAGCATGAAATTTACAACGAACAAATTTCTGAAAACTACATATTCCTGGATGAAAGTTAGGCAACAAACCAGAATTTAAGCCAGTTAACACCTTAACAGCAGGAATGCGCATTGCAGTGGTAGCATCTAAACATCAAGCAATACAGTTGATCATCATCGACCTTATTTGGTACATTATTATTTTCCAGCCTTTTTTCTTAGTTTTAAATCAATTAACAAGGTCGAGCAGCAAGTATATAATAGGAAAATTGTATTTCAATTGACCTCATAGCATCGAAGCATCATCAAAGTACCCAAACAATGCCTGAATTTACCAAACATCTTAAAAAACATCTGATGACATCAGCTACTTTATACGGCTAGTGAAAAGGTCAAAGAAGCAAAATAAACCAACCAATACTTGAATGCAAAGCCAGGCCATTGCCTTAGAGGAAAACGATGAACATACTCTAACAAAGTACTGAGATTAAACCCCTAGCAATTATTCTACACTCGATAGTAAAAATCATACTTATTGCACAATCATTACCGGATTTTCATTACTCTTATTAACTTTTGACCAAATGATTTGGTATGAAAAACAATCTCCAAAGTTCCAACAACTATTAAGATATAGATTACTTAAAGTTCAAGAACAACACCATAACATATAGTCAACGAGTCCCCGAAACAATAACCACCTTCTCAACAATCAATCATGATTCATCACAAAGTGAACACTATTATTGGTAATTAAGGGTGGAATTATATCAAGTTGGTAACTAAGCGTAATGATCCCGCAAGGATGAGCTAACCCCAAAAACCCGTCTTCGGTTCGGATTGGACACCTGCTTCAACTAGGAGGACTTCAAGAGCAAAATACATAACAATTTTTCTGGAAAAATCAACAGGAAGGTGCCAATCTAATGACTAAATCTGGGTTATTGAATTCTATCCCTAAAATTTAAAGTCACCCATTTTCAAAGCAAAACAAACCATCAAAATCAAACATGAAAATTCCACACCCTAAATAAATATCTTCAAACATTTAATAGAGCAATAAAGAAAAAAAGCAAGATTATAATAAGCAATTAATTAATATCAGAAACTAATTTACCATACATAGTAAGTAAACAAGATTCTAAATTTAATCAAAAACCCAAATATAGAAAATAGAAATGCAATTAACAGCAGAAAATTAAAGCATACCAGAAGTAGGATTAGAGTTGAAATTATCCACTTGTGCAGAAGAACCAAAGCAATTACCCATCTGAGTTTTGCACCAAATCAGCAACCAAAAAAAAAAACAGAGGGAATTGAACCAAGATCACAAAGCTACTAATTATAGCAAGAACAAAATTAAACAAAAAAAACCCAATTAAGTATGAAAGGAATTGAGAGAAATTAAAGTATTAACACATGGGAAATTGACAAGTTTCCTAGGAAGGTGAAGCTAAGAAAAGAGAAGAAGAAAGAGAAAGCAAAATAAAATAAAAATGAGAGGAATAAAAAAAAAAAAATTCAAATGATTACAAAGAAAGAGGAAGGTCTTTAGAGGGTGCCTGGAAGTCGCACTGCAATTCTCTTTTATCAAAAAAGTCTTCCTTATGGGGGTACGTTACCCGATAATCAAAAGTCTGTTAAACTGTTACACTCTGATTAATTCTAATTTTAAGCCGAAATTAAGCCTTATAATAAGTGAAAGTTTTTGTATTTACTGATAAATGTTGTTGTATACTAGATGCTTGAACACGAAATAATTGATTAAAGAAAAAATACTTTTCATCGTCCCATAAACATTGTTGTATTCTAGATGCTTAACCATGAAACTAATTAGTTAAGGTGAAACAACTCCCATCTTTCATTAAAAATTATCATGCTCTAGATGCTTGAGCACGAAACCAATTAGTTAAGGTAAACAATTCTCATACTAATGACCCAACTTGACTAGTGAATTATTCGAGCTTTAAATTATTTACTTAATAATTTGTTAATGTTTGTGTTCTCTATTGTATGTAGGGGTGTCAATTCAGATAATCGGATCGAGTCTGATATGGTCCGGTCAGATCGGGTAAATTTTTAAAGTTGAGTTATACTAATTTATTATGTCCACGTGAGTCCAAATCTGAATCAGATGTTTTTTGGATCTATTTCAGATCGGGTCGGGTCGGGTGTGCTTTTGACACCTCTATTTGTATGTTCACAACTTCACAGTTCACACCAACACACATAGACATAGTCACATAAGTCATTCACACGAGAAACAATTCATGGAATTGGATTAGGCACTTCCGTGAGTATTGCACCCTCCTTTGTGTTGAAAAAAATGCTTTGTTTTACTAGTCCTAGATATTGTTATGTCTTCCTAGATTGCAGTCAATTTCATACAATGGTTTTGTTTGCATCTTTTATCTACCTTTAGACCTAGGGATATATTTTATTGTTTTCCCTAGAGTCCATGAGAGGAAATGTAAGTGGGATTAAATTTAGTGAGTGTGACTATGTGAAGATGTATGTAGAATACATAAATGATACGTATTTTGTGCATTCACAAAATTTATTTAGTTGATAACGATTAAATTTAAGATTAATATAAGCACTACTAAAATTCATACAACTTAATTTAAATTCGTTTTGATAAATTAAAATCAAGTGAATAGAACATGTTTTTATTTATTTTTTCGACTATAACATGTTATTAGCTATCACACCTTGTGGTAGTCGATAGATTATAAATTGTGTGATGACTTAAATGAATTATAAGTGTAATTTAGTCCGTGTGGAAAAAAAACCTATATAACCTTCATGAGAAAACAATCTCATCCTCCAACAAGCTTGTGTTTTTCTTCGAGTTTTCCATTACTATCCATTATCAATTGGGAGGTGGTATTACATAGGGATATAAAGAAAAATAAATAAACTAGGTGTTATCGATCTTTGTATATAATCATTGAAAAGAACAAAATTTTATTTCCAAATTTACATACAATCCAAAATTCCAAAGTCTTATTCTTTTGCTCGAACGAGGCTTCATTTCTCATTACTACGGATTATCGATTACCAAACGAGTTATATTAATGCATGTCATTAACTTTCACCTACAAGAAACGCTAATTATTTGTTGATACTAGCAAAGTAATTGTTAATTAAGCCTCAAAACACAATAAGTTACTATGGAGTACATAATTTGAAATTTTGGGTTTACATCTAAAAAGTCAAACTATGACATTGGAAACACTATACTTTTTTAATCGGAGACTTTACCGAGTAACTATGATCCATTTCATAGTCCTTTTAATCTTTTATATTAACTTGAGTTGCTTTTTATTGGCATAGTTTAACTAGAAAAAAAGGAGAAAATGTCTCCTAATTCTTAAATATTCGACTCGTATGTTGTACGTGCACTTTATTTATATGTCAAATGAATTGGTCCAAAAGGTATTTTTATAAGTCTTTGTCTACTACGAAGTAATAACACCCTTTAGTACCAAGTATTAAAGAACATACCCCACTACCGCCCCGGCGCCCCTTCATGTAAACATGTATTATTGGTCAAGTTATTTTAAATATTAATTACCATTATTTTATATTATTAGCTAATATGAAAAATGAGGGATGGTCCAAGTGATTAGAGCTTTTTTCCCAATTTTAGAGGATTTTGGATCAATTTTCATTATTTAATGCATTAGATCATAATCACGTAATGTAAAAAGCTTATACTTTATATATTATTGTACAATTAAAAGGTTGTGGGATCAAATCTCACTAGAGTCTAGAGGCACTAGGTGCCTTGTTCCTACCAGTTACCAACCAATATATATATAATATATTATACATATTCAAAAGAGAGAGGAAAAAAAAAGTATGGTAAACATGAAAAAACTCAATGCGTTAGAAATTACTGGTAAATTTAATTCAATACAAATATTCAAAATATGATCAACGTCCTTGTTCAATTACTTTCATACTACTGCAAGTACGGTTACGAGTCCTCGCAAACATTGTGGACTTTATGGTGTTGGACTTTTTAAACACTTTTATTAGAAAAACATTACCAAAAGTCCAAGCTTGAAAGCCATCATTAAAGTTATACTCCCCATTTTTCCAACTCAAAGATGCTCATAATTTCATAATTAGAATTGGATGTAACAACAACTTTATGAACATACATGTGTAACAACAATTTTTAAGCCAAATATGTGTCAGAGTGTCAGACTCGACTATTTTGTGAAAATTATCTATACTTTTGGTCCAAAATGATCAAAGTGTCCTACATACACTTGCATAATCAGACATAATAAGGGTCTGTTCTCATAGACTGAACTCAACTGAACTGAAAATAAACGTATGAGAACAGGCCCTAAGTACCTACATAGAAGACAGAGAATGAAAAGTCCTAGTAGCATAATGCGTAATTAGAATTCAAGACTTGTTAGATAATAGGTTAATATTATCTTGTTAATATTCTGTAAAGATATATCTTGTGTAATTAGGTTTCTCATGACTAGGTTGTAAATCCTATATATATTGAATTAATGAGAATGCCTCCGATAAGGAGAATTACACTATTCTACATGGTATCAGATTCCTAATAGGCTTTTCTCTCTTTTCTTTTCTCACAAAACCCTAACGATCCTAGAAGCTTCCACCTAGCCGTCCACCACCTCCATCATAGTCGTCCTCCTCCTTCAATGGCAGGCGATGATGAAACCCCTCCCCCCTCCTCCTCCAACTCCAACGCTGAAACAGAGAGGCAATGCAAAACTATCAGCAAATTGTCAAAACCATAGTAAGCAAAGGTGTGTAAATTTTTCACTGATGTAGCAAAATGACATAATGGAGAAGACAAAATATACTAGGTATCAGTTAAGGCAAGTGATGACACTAGTTGAAGGGAGTCTTCTACAGAGACGATAAACCATCAAAAATTGAATTGAAATCTATATAATATGATCAACAAACACAAATAGATTTTCGATGAGATCGATTACAATGAGGATGCCAAGGCCGGGGAATGAATGAGTTGTTTGTGTTGCTTGCATTTTTGGAACTTTATATGCATTTTGAAGGTCTTACAGCTTTTTTTAGTTTCTGTAAGACATCTGACATTTCAGGCCTGGAACTTGCTTGAACAAGTGTACACTGTAAGGCGAGTGTAGCAACTGTGAATGCGGCCTTTTTCGGGTATTGGCCTTTTAGTCTAGGATCCATCATCTGCAGTAACTTTTCCCGGAACGCCTTTATCCAATCCACCACTGCTTCCTCTCCCATCAATGTACTTTTAAGTGCAGGTCGTCTAGTTAACAGTACAAGTAACAAAATCCCATAACTGTAAACATCGCTCTTTGCTGAAATGCTACCTGCTCCATAACACAAATAAATAAGCCAACTGGTTAATATGGATGATTACAAGCTATCTAACTCTAGGTGTACTCGGATGTATAATTAATTTTGTAAACGTTTGTTATTGGCATTTTCAAACCTGTATTTACAAACTCTGGTGCTGCGTAACCCTGTGTTGCATAACTCTGAATGTCTATGACCTGAGTACGTTGACACATATGTTGATAACTTTGCATTAAAATCCTGCAAATATATAAAAACAAGAGATCAGATATATTAAGAAACATCTATCACAATAAATCAATGACAAGAGTACACCCTGTTTCTCATATTGAGAAATGAAATTTATTTCTCATAAGGGCATTTTCGTGAATAAATCAATAACTTTTTTTTTTATTATTGTGGGCTCCACAATTGAATAAAGTTGAATACATTTGTGGGTTTATTTACGAAAATGTCATACTACGAGAAACAGGGACATTCTCGTTAGTTGGGTGTATGTCGCCGTGTTACTTTAGATGAACTACTACAAGAGGGGGGGGTGAATAGTAGTAGGTTCCAATCATGAAACTTATGCGAAAATTAAAAACAAAACGTAAAAGGAACTTAAAGAACACAGCAAGTTTTACGAGGAAACCATCCAGTGCCTAACTGGAAATAAAACCTCGACCCTATTGGGACTTATAAACAAATTCCACTATAATAGGCAACTCTCCTAGTACAACCTATTACACAGACCTTTGCTTTGCAAGTTCCACCACACACACTTGCCACTTGATAGGACACCTCCTACCAGACCTTAGACACTTCCTAGGTACCTTTTTTCCCTTTAACCCAGGACACTTCTTAGGTGACCCAAGACACCTCTCAGGTTCCTTTCACTGGACCCAAGACACTTCTCAGGTTCCTTTCACTCACTGTGCACTCACAACTACCACTTGAATTTTAGAGAATTCAAACTCATACACACACGCGTGAATTTGTAGAGAATTCACAATCTCACCCCAAAACCAATTACAACACAAAGACTCACTCTTAACACATAAATGGAAAGCTACACATGAAACCTAAAATCAAAATGATAAAGCTTAAACCTTTGGCAAACTTACTCTTAAGCACTAAGTGGTTTTCACGCTCAAAACTCTCATTTTGCTTCACTGAATTCCTTCTATATTTATAGAAGTTTCTCAGCTCACGAATTAGGGTTTTCGCAAATATGATAAGTTAAACAAAAATCTAACCTTATCTCTCTAAAACCAAAATCAAAACAAATTTAATCTCGCCTTCTTTGAAAACCAATTTTATCAATTCGTTTTGGTTAAAAGATAGAATTTTATGAAAAAGATAAAACCGAGTTAAATCAAATTTTAGAAGATAAAATCAAATAAATACTTTTTCATAAAAACTGTAGTTATCTTTTATGAATTGATGAGCTTGCCAAGTTTTATCAGATTTCTAATAAGTTCCATGCATAACAATCATTTACATGTTTACATCAACCTATAAAACAAACTTATCTTTTACAACTATAAGTTATGAAGTCCATATTTTTCGGTTGATATCTCAAGCTCTACACTGACTCTTGATTGTTGAGGTTTGCCCCAGCATTACACCGGAACCAGGTCGTTACAATCCGTTTGAAGTTCCTATGAAGAACTTCAGGAAGTTCCATTGCTGGAACTCTTCTTCTGTCTTTACTTGTCCTCATGGATCTTCTAAAGTTCCTTTGTTTCAGTTCCTACTTCAACTCCCAGAGCCTACTGAAACTGCAAACATCACAACACTAGACAATCCTTATTAGATGGAAGTTTGCTCAATTCTTAACATCATCATCAAAACCTCATAAGGGTCAACAATTTCCCCCTTTTTGATGATGACAAACTGAGCAAACTTCTAAGGATAACAAGTAAAGGAACGGAAGGTTAATTTTTTATTTTTCAAATTTTATTTTTTTCATATAATTTAAGTAAAGAAACAGAACAAAAATAAATGACAGAATAACAAAAACAGAATGAAAAACAAACTAACTAACAGAAAGCAAATAAAAATTTTAGAGAAAAGAAACCTTTGTTACTTACTTAACTAGAACTAGGGGTGAGCAAGACCGGGTACCCGGTCATATTTGTAATACCCGGATCCGGAACCGGTTATAACCGGGTCCCAAGAATTGGAACTGGTCCCGGAACCGGTTAATACCGGATCCAAATTTTTTGGAACTGGTCCCGGACCCGGTAGGAACCGGTTCCAAGACCGGGTACCCGGTATTATTCAACGTAGTAAAATACTGTTTTTTTCTTTATAATTGTTATATAATATATTATTATATATAATGGAATTTTGCAGGCTAGTTATATTAACATAATAATATCCCTAAATTAGTTTTGGAGGCTAGCAAAATACAAATATTTCAAAATACAAATATTACAAACTAATAAGCCAAAAAGTACCAATTCAACAACCTAAAATATCAGTACAACAAACTTCAACAATGCTGCAAAGTCCAAACATCCAAACATAACCAAAACAACTACTTAAATAAAAGTTCAGAAAAAAAAAGGGAAGAAAAGGAAGGGCAGCAACAGGCAGCAGCTGAGCACACCATCAGCAGGCAGCAGCTGAGCACACCATCAGCCAGCAACAAGACCAGCAGCAAGTCAGCAACCATCTAAGCAACGGAGAAAGACAGCATACAGCAGACAACAAAGCAAAGAGGCAGCAGCCAACAAGGAAGCACAAATTCCCTATAAACAAAAGCCAAAATGTCCTTAGAATATTTGTCATTTGATATCTTTTCATACAATATAATTAAGAATACAATTATACAAACCTTTGTCACATCAATTATTTCCAACAAATTCATTAACTTGTGTGATGCCAGTGTCACTACCATCCAATTCTAAAAAAAACAGTAAACAATATAAGTAATAAACTTAGAGAAATAAAATAGATAAATATACAAAATAATAGAAGTATTAGTGTATTACCTTCTTCATATTTTTGAACATCCTCAAGGAAGCGCTCAATATCAATGCATACATTTGACGCCCTTAACCAATCTTGAGTACAAACTAAAGCTTCCACCATATTTGGCCCCAAACTACTACGAAATTGATCAAGTATGCGACCCGATGTACTAAATGCGGATTCACTAGAAACCGTAGAAATTGGTATAGCCAAAATGTCCTTAGCCAATGTTGACAATACTTTGTATTTGTCACTTTTTTCTTTCCACCAACCCAAAATATCAAACATTTCCCCTTCAACCCTTCTCTCCCGAGCTTCTTCAAGATAATAATCCAATTCACTTTTTTCAACAATAAAATCACTTTCTTCCTCATCAAAATCATCATAAAACTTTTTCATTTGCTCACTATTTGAAGAGCTCAAGTTTTCAGAACCATTATCCACATTGGCAACATTAATATTACGATTATTCTTGGAAGAGGAAGAAGCAATAATAGCATCATAATGGTTAAATAACTTCTGAACATTGTCATACAAATTGTCACAAATAACATCGACTTTGGCAAAGTCGTTAGGATAAAGTTTTTTAAAAGAATACTTCAAAAACCTAAGCTTATATCGAGGATCTAAAACAACCGCAACTAACATCATGATATTAGTTTTACCGAGATCCCCATAATACTTATCAAACTTTTCCCTCATTTGTCTACCCATAATACGAATATCCATATTTGTAGAGTTTTCCCATTCTATCAAACAACTTAACACCTCCAAAACCTCGTGAAAATACAAGTTTGTAGTAACATATAAACTACCCGACATTTTCTTTGTAGACTCATAAAATAATTTCAAACACAAAGACAACACTTTAGCATTTACCCAATCTTCTTGTGTAGGTACTCCATCCTTGAGTTCCCTACTAAAATCAGGATCATCTTCCGCAAACCTATTAAAAGCTTTTTCAAATTTCAATGCGGTTTCAAGCATGAGAAAGGTAGAATTCCATCTAGTTGCCACATCAAGACAAACTGAACCTTTACAAGAAACTTTAACCAACATAGAAGAGTGTGCAAACAATTTAGCTCTAGAAGGTGAACTCCTCACATATCTAACAGCAGCACGAATTCGAGCAATCGAAGACTTCACACTAGATAAACCATCTTTCACAATCAAATTTAGAACATGACAAGCACATCTCATATGAAAAAATGAACCCTCCAAAACAAGTTTATCATGAAAATGTGTTTTCAAATATCCAACCGCCACATCATTTGAACTAGCATTATCAACAGTTAAAGAAAACAATCGATCCTCAATCTCCCATTTAAGAATACATGCCTCCACAACTTTTCCAATTTCCTTACCTTTATGACTATCCATTAATTGAAAATTTAAAATTCTTTTATGCAACTTCCAATTATCATCAATAAAATGAGCAGTCAAACAAAGATAATTAAAATTTTGAATGGAGGTCCAACAATCAGTTGTTAGTGACACTCTCGATTTCAAACACCCAATTAATTTCTTTAATTTTCCACTTTCACAAACAAATATATTCTTCACATCTCTTGCAACTGTAAAACGTGAAGGTATATGAAATTGAGGTACAGCAACACTACAAAAATACCTAAAACCTTCACGCTCAACAATAGAAAATGGTTGTTCATCAACAATAACCATTCTTGCCAAACCAAGTCTACAAGCAGTTTCATCAAATTTCCAATTAGAGACTATAGTAGCATCAGATTCAGGAGACTTGTAAACAGAAATGAGTTTTTGCTTTTTGTCTACATTTGGAGGGTATTTTGAACATGCACCAAGGTGTTTCTTTAATGAAGAAGTTCCATTATTAGTATTACCTGTTAGCATTTTCTCACAATATTTGCATTTGACTTGAACAATTTTTTTGGTTACTGGATCTCTAAAATCCCAAAAATGGTTCCAGTATTCAGACTTCCTCTTGTCACCAACCTTGGTTGATTTGGTTGTTGCATTCTCGTTTCCAACCTCACTTTCATCATCCATAGGGACTGACGAATTGTCGGTATTGCTCATAGTTCTGAAATAGGAACAAATTAAACTTTAATAAGACATAAACATTACACAAAGTACTATTCTCATTAATCTGCAAATTGGGCCTCATTAATCAACACACTAAGTCACTATTCTCACTAACACAGCAAGCAGTGCAAATTAACAAATATAACAGCAAACAAATTTAGTCCAATTCATACAAAGTACAAAGTCTACAAACCAATCCAAATCATACAAACTTAAGTTTTCAGTTTAAATAACAAACTAACAAAGTATCAAATCAAACCAATCAATCCATACAAACTCAAATTAAACAAGTTTTAACAGAACTACTTAAGTTAAACATAACATGATCAACATTCAGCAACATTACAGCCAGCAGAACAGCAGAACAATAGCAGCAGCCAGCAGAATAGATCAATCCAGCAGGCAGCAAAGCAGTAGCAACAGAACAGCAGAACAGTAGCAACAGAACAGCAGAACAGTAGCAGCAGCCAGCAGAACATCAAAACAGTAGGCCAGTAGCAGCAGATCAACACAGCAGTAGCAGCACAGAGCAATCACTCAAGTATTTCGACCACTTCATCAATTTTAGCATCACCAATTGCCATATTCTTCACAAATTAAAATGTAGCAAGTAAAATCGCAAGTTAAAATCGCAAATTAAAATCGCAATTCACAATTGAACATGCAGTAGCAACGATTAGTATTTAGTACTTTAGTAGGAGAAGACAGGAGAGAGCAAGTAAGTAGAGAAACGATTAAAATCGCAAATTGAATTCGCAAATTGCATATTTCATACCTTAATTAGTAGGAGAAGACAGGAGAGAGAGAAGCAGGTGGACCGTTGACGGTGGTCGCCTGGTGTCCTGGTGTACTGGACGGTGGTCGGAGACTCAGAGGAGACAGTCAGACGAGGGAGGACGAAAGAGTGGAGAAAGGCTGAGAGCGTGAGAGGTAGTGAGAGGATTAGAGGAATTAGGGTTTTTTTATTTTTTCATTATATACCTAGGGTATTTAGTTTTGGGCCAGATTGGGCTTATAATTCAGTTTGGTTCGGTTTTGTTCGGTTCCGGTTCCGGGTACCCGGATTGTCTGGATCCGGGACCGGGTACCCGGAACTGGAATTGGTTTAAACCGGGTACCCAGTGGGTACCGGGTCCGAAATTTTAGGACCCGGTCCCGGAACCGGTTACAACCGGGTCCGACATTTTGGACCCGGTCCCGGAACCGGTGGGACCAGTTCCGGGTCCGGACCCGGCGGATCCTAACCGGTTCCGGGTCCGGTACCGGGTACCCTGGGTCTTTGCTCACCCCTAACTAGAACTAGAACAACTTCACCTTTCATGTTTGCTCCTGCTTTTCCCCCTTTTGGAATTATCAAAAACTTGATTTTTCAAAGTTTTATGCATCTACTCACATCCCCACAGGCAATTCATCGAATGTGGGAACCTGGAAGCAGCGCTGGCTAGCTCTCTTAAGCTAGCACTTTCACACTAATCAACTTGTATTTTCTCAACAAGAAATGCATACATATATAGAAAAAGTTCCAGAATATTATAACAAAAGCCAACTATCCAGAGCAGTTCAAAATATTACAAACCAAGTTCAAAATACTTAAAAACAAATTGTCTTAAAAACCATAACAAAGTTCCTTAAGCAGAAGCAGGGGATTCAAAATAGGCATAGGGATAGGTTGGGCAGAGAGCATAAGCTGATCAATCATCAAGAGTCTTGAGAATCTGCTCAAGAGTTGTCTTGTTGTCTTCTTTCATCTTTAGCATCTTTGCCTCCATGGTGGAGAGCTTCTTCTGGAACTCCTTCTCCTGGTTCTGAATAGTTCTCTCCAAGGATCTCACCTTTCCCGTCATCTCCATCAGCTGTCCTTCAACCTGCATTACCCTGTTAGCCAACTCAGAGACCAATTCCTCAGTGCCCTCATCCTTGTCACTGATTTCCAGAGGTTCACTTAGGCGTGTCTTGACCTGAGTTCCTGTAGTGAGTCTTCTACTCTTCCCAACAGATTCCGTTGGTTGAGGACTTTCTTTCTTTGCCTTATCCTTTTTTGCTTCATATTTTTCACATCTCCCCTTCATAACCTCAAGACTCAATCCCCTCAAGGTGTCCCCATTAATTATGTTCTCTCTCTTCTCCTTCATTATACCATAGAAATCCACTAACTTCACTCCTAGATCTTCGAACATCGTGGCCAGGGTAGCACCATATCCTATTTTTATTTCCTTCTCAATACAGTGTTTTAGGTGTTGCATCATCAAAGAGGGAAAGTTGATTTTGATTTTCTTAGACATGCAAAAGATCAAGGCCATGTATAGGTAGCAGAATTCATTTTTATTTTGTGTTCTCCAGATCAGGGATTTTTTAACAAGATTGAACAAGAGTTTGTGAAAGGGAGACAGATCATTGTGGTTCATAACACTCACACCACTTTTTCCTCCTAAAAATGTTACTATTTCAGTTTTAGTGTGACCTTCCACCTTCACACTCACATCACCTTTCATATAGGTTTCAAATCCCTCACATGGAACTTGTAGCAGAGTTCCCAATCTAGCAGCATCAAATTCTATTTCAATTTCATTAATTCTACTAAAACATACTCCATTTTCAAATTAACATTCTTTTATAAACTCTTCCATGTCCATAGGGTACAAGTAATTCTTAGCTTTAGTCGAAAATAAAACATCCCACCCTTGAAAAGCAATCAATTTCAAAAATTCAAAAAATTCACCTTCTTACACAATTAATAATCGATTTTATATCCTACCACATACCTTTTAGCTTGTTTTTCCAACATCTTTTGGTCTTCTTCCCCCTCGGATTTATCCTTGTTGACAGTGTCCTCCCCCTTAGATAGTGCATTCGCTTCCTCCATCTGCTCTTTAAGACTTTTCTCGGCCTTTCGTTTCTTCCAAGCCGTAATTCGATCAATGACATTTGGAAGACTAGCAGTAGACGAGGTTTCGGTTTCGTCTCGGGGTTTTGGTTTGGTGTTTTTTGCTTTAGAGGTGATAGGTTAGGAAATTCAGTAATAATCATCTCGAGTGGAGGTATAAAGGTTGGATCTTGCTCTTTGGTGGGTGAGTTTTCACTTTGGTTAGGGTTTGGATTTTCGCCTTCCATGGGTGCTCTCTTGGTTAAGCTGTAGAATTTTTGTGGTTGAGAGAGTTTGAGAGTTTAATTGATTTGACTGTGAGTAATTTTGGTGGTTGGAAGGATATTTATAAGGGGTCAAATTTTGTTAAGCGGTTTATAGGAGATGAAAAGTTATGCTTCTAGGAACAATGTATTTATCCGATTAAAAAACAACTGGATGGATATTCAGATTCAAAGTTTATCTTTTTCATAAATTCATGAGAAAAGATTTATCATTTGTATAAGATAAATTTTGAAAATTGAATTTTTTTTATAAAAGTGTTTTTGTCCAGGAACTTGTCACATACATGTCTACATACCCTTGAAAATTATGTACAGTCTAATGAGTGCTAATTCTTTGAGGTTAGTACAATTAGGACTACCAACTCTTTCCTATAAACAACAATTTAAAGGCAACTCTTTTGCCTTTGATTGTTTCATTAAAATAACATAAATCTGTGTAATTTGCATATTAGATATAAAATAAGGAAACTTATGGTTAGGTATAATTACATTCAACTTAATTTCACTATATGTGTATGTGGAGTACTACATTATAATATTATATTTAAATTTACAACTTAATCAAGTTATAATAAGTAGTAATATGTGATAGGTTGTCGTACACCTGTCAAAAATAAATTCCTAACAAAATCAACTAACATTGTAGTAGGGTAAGTAGGTTCAAATCCACATAGAGATGACTATTCAATCTAACTTTTAAGAAATTGAAGAAACTAAAGTATGTCACGAAATTGGGATAAGAAGTAGTCTAAATTAAAATATGAATAAAACAATTAATAAAAATGACCTAGGGTTATGGTTCACCATTTTTATAGTTCTAAATTTATCAAATATCAATAACAATTCAATCAATCAATTATCTAGAGCAATTGCTAAGCCTACAGTCGAGTTTTAATACTTTTAATTCAACATATGTAGTTCGGTTGCTAACATAGTCGGTAAGCCTCTAAAAGTAAGATCTTTCGATTAAAACTCTTATTAACAATAATTAATCAAACAATTGATCAGGTTGCAAGATTAACAATAAAATACTATCAATTAGCAAAATCAATAATAAAAGTATCAAAAATATCAATAATCAAGATTCATCATATAAACATGGATTCTGTTAGAGAACCATCTCAATCAAAAGCTTAAGATGATGGTTGAGGCCCAGAAATATGGTTGAGGCCCAAGAATATGTTTTATACTCTATCAGATTCTCAAACCTTAGAAATAAACTACACTAGCATGAAATAAATAATTCTTGTAAAAAAAATCATGAAATAAATAATTAAAACTAAATCTTAGGAATAAAACATAATTAAAACCAAGAAATAATTTGTTAAAAAAAAAGCAAGAAATAGAAATAAAAATACCACAATGAATTAAAATAAGGATTTTTTTTTGTGAAAAACTACCTTTTATATACAACTTTTTGTGAAAAACTAACTTTTAAAAAAATTGTTGTAAATGACTACCTCTTTTAAAAAAATGTTGTAAAGGACTACCACTTGTCGGAATCTGGCCGTTGACTCGCTTTTCTGGCGTTGACCACCCCACGTGGCGTCCTTTTCCCGTTTTCAACGACCCCCACCCCTCCTCCTCTTCCCTTTTCTAGTTTTCGACCACCCCTACCCCCTCGTCGTCATCTCCCCCTCCCTTGTCCAGTTTCCGACTGCTGCGCTTGTTGCTCTTCCGCCTCTCCTTTCCAATTTATAATTAAGTTATAAACAAGTTACAATATGCTTTGGGGTAATATAATTGTGGAAGGGTACACCTCAATTGGTAGTAAATTGGTCCATTTCCTAATATAGTAAATCCTACTTGGGTTTTTTTTGTGAATTTTTTTAGAATCTTTTGAGGTGATATCTTGTGGTAAACAAGTCACCAAGGAAGCAAATACACGCACAAAATAGAAAAGAGAGGGTTTCTAGAGTGCTTCCATTTTCGAACTTTTTTGGATATCTTTTACAAATCTGGTTGCTTTTAGAAATTCTACCGTTGGATCGTGCTCAAATTTAACATCTTGTTTCTGTAATAAAAGGCTTCATTTTGGACAGTTGGATTATTGTTTTGCTTTGATTTGGTCGGAATTGTCTTTAGACAAAATTAATCTATGTTTTTGGACGTGAATTCTACTTTTTTCACTCTCTACTTGTTTGTGGGTTGTGAATTCTACTCTTTTCATAGCAGGGCGACTACACCTCAGCTTTGCTTCAGGTGGTTCCTATTTTATTGGTTAGTTCATACGATGAACGCAAAGAATTACCAATGTGTGTTGTGCTACCGATTGGGTATTCCATTCCTCTCTATCTTAAAGCCATGCTCTACTCGTTCAAGAGTTTTTACTAGGGATTTCGATGATCACGCGGTGTCGTATGCTGGCATTGCTCAATATTTCGACGAATTGAAACGTACGTACTAACCACTCGTTATAACGAATGGCCAGGACATCAAGTTCAAGCCTCTTGACAGCAACATCCCATCCCTTGCGAGTTAAATAAGGACCATCAATGAGAATGATGTTGTTAGGGTGCAAATTTCTTGTGACAGTATTAATTTCCTTAAAGATGAAGGCCTTTATGTTATACTAAGAGAAAAACCTTTAAGATAATTGTTCACCAATTAAAACTTATAATTATAATTAACTTATTGATCAGCTTGTAATCAACATAAATTATAAGCACTTTTAACACAAATTTTGTGCTAGATTAGGGGGGGTGGGTGGGGAGAGAGAGAATGGGGAACAAGTACTACTTATAATTTTAATTTATATTCATTTTAAATTTTTTTTTAAAAGAGGGAACTAAGAGAAGAATAATCAGTAAAAATAAATAAATAAATAAATAAATAAAAAGAGTTTGATTTAATTAAGGGAGAATGTTGTGAGAGATAAGCAAGTGTATACCTATAATTTTCAAAAAAAAAAAGTAAGTAGACAAGGTCAGGGAAGAAGAGCAGAGAAATAGAGGACAACTTTGAGACAATACAAGGAGTAGGTGAGAACAAAGCACTTTAAGAGACTATTTTTAGAATTTAATTAAGATACAACTGCCACAAAGGAGATAAATGAGAGAAATTAGGAATGTGAAAAAAAACAAGGAGGGGGTTCAAAAAAGAAGAACGAGATGAAGATCATCACTTCAATTAGAGGACTAATTATTTAGAATGTAATTAAAGTAGAAGTGATAAAAAGTGCTTTTTGAAAAGATTCTAAAATTTAATAAACCATACAGGTTAAGTGTAAAATGTGAAGGAAGAAGGAAAGGGAGAGGAGAGCGATTGCAAGTGAGGGTTGGAGGGGTGGTTTGAACGCAAATAAAGATTAACTATAATTTATGAATTTTGTAAAATTATAAAGTAAGGAAGGATGGAGTGATGGAAGGAAGGAGAGAGAAATAGAGATGTGGTCACTTAATTGCCAATTTTATGTGCTCAAACTCAATATTAATGTGATACTTTGTATAGCTAGAAAGACAAATTTATTAATAATATATTTAGGAAAAAATCAACCTTAATGTAAAATCGTTAAAGAGGGAGAGAGGGAGTGGTAGAGAGATCAAGCTCAACATTAATGTGATACTTTGTATAGCTAGAAAGACAAATTGATTAGTAATATATTTAGGGAAAAAAAAAATCAACATTAATGTAAAATCGAGAGAGAGAGAGAAATAAGGAACATGGGAGAGAGCAAGAAAGGGGCAGAGATAGAGGGGTATATTGAGAAGGGACAAGGAAGAGAGGGGACGAGAGAAAGAAAGGGGCCAGGAGAAAGAAAAGGGCCAACGTATAAAGGGCAGGACAAGAGAGTAGAGAAAAGGAAAAGACATGTTAGGAGAAGAGAGGGGTCAAGAGAGAGAGAGAAAGAAAGAGGGGACATGAGAGAGATAGGGATTAAGAAAAAGGGCCGGAAGTGAGGAGACGCAAGAAGTGACAAAGAAAGAAAGAGGAGTGAGGAAAAAAGAGACCAAAATAAACAGAATAGGAGAGTGACGGCCACGAGAAAAAGATAATAAAGGTCAAAAGAGAAAGAAATAGAGCAGTACATGAAAAGAGGGGTTGAGAGAGAGAGAGAGGTAAAGATAAAGATGGCCCGAGAGAGAAAGAGACTGAAAGGACAAAAGAAAGAGGCAGATAAGGAAAAGCCAAGAGAAATAGAGGGGACTCGAGAGAGGGGAAAATCGGGGGAGGAAAAGGAGCAAGTGTACACTACAACAATTGGTAAAACTTTTAAAGTTATAAGGTTAATAAATACTAGAAGTTTATTTTTTAATCATTAAATTTCAATTTTAATTGGCAAATTAGATGTCGCCAATCTTCCAATCTCCCTAATCGCAACACCCAGTTTGTAATTTTCCTATCGCCCTAACCGTACTACTCATTTTGCTAATCCTCCAATCACCTTGATCGCACCACCCATTTTGTCATTCCTGTAATTGCCTTGATCGCACCACTTAGTTTTTCAATCCTCAATTCGTCCTGATTGCACCACCCAATTTGTTAATCCTTCAATCACCTTGATTAGACCATCCAATTTGGCAATCCTCCAATCGCCCTGATCTCAACACCTAGTTTACCAATCCTTCAATTGCCTTGATTGTACCACCTAGTTTGCCAATCCTTACATCCCCTTTATCGCACCACCCAGTTTTCCAGTCCTCCAAACACTCTGATCGTAACACCAAGTTTGTCAATCTTCCAATCACCTTGATCACAACACTCAGTTTAAATTTATGAGGTGAATGTATGTATAATGTTACAAAAGAATATTACCCTTCTAATATTTGACTCCTAAAGTTGAAATGTCTTACATACTTGACTCCTAAATATATTTCATATAGATACTAAGGATAATCAACCACTAATGCTTAGATGAATAAGTCATGTAAAGCCTCAACATAGCTCAATCAACAATATAAATAAACAATCTATAACATTCAACATTAATAAATCAGTTTTAGTCATAGTCACCATTAATTTTCCTATTTACTATTTCATTGACACTTTTCTAGCCAAGGTTGGTATTGGATTAAGCAAATGTTGACTTGAAGTGTAACTGCTACACAGAAATGGAAACACTAATAAAATTGTTGCACAA